GTTCACCAGGAATACTCAGCGCGACTACGAGAGCAGGGTGAATAACGGTCGAGGATTTCCTCGACCATAGCTCTCTACCATGTGAGAGTAGTGCCGAGAGTGAACATCCGCGCGGAGAGCACAGACGGCACGCCCATGGCGAGTGTGAATGTCCGCGCGAGAGATCGTGTCTGACGGGCAGAGAATCCTCGACGTGCCGTTGAGGAATCCTCAAGCGATATTCACCCTGCCAGAAGGTTCAAATTTGGGTATGTGATAGAGAGACTTTCTCTACAATGGTCTGATAAGGAGAGCCGCTCGTCGTAATTAGTGAAGAAGGGGACCTTCTGGGCGCACTCCTAGACCACTCTCACAGTTTCCTGAAGCAAAGCCTTTGTGGAATTCATCCGTAACCCTCTCTAAAGTATGGACCAGCTCATAGCGATGAGAAGCCTGGGTACGTCAATAAGTAACCTTTCATTTGTAGAATTTCACGTAAATCGATACAAATCGTGAGTTTTCCTTAGAAGCATAATGGAAGGCAACAGAAGATCAGACCCACCAATTGAAACATGCCGTGAAGTACCAAAGAACATATAGAAAAATGCAGGAAAACACGACGCATAGAGACCATAAACAGGATCAACTCCGGCCAAAGCAGAGTAGGCAATACCTTGAAGGTCGCGAAAAAATCCGCCGAACTAGCTCATGATCGAAAAGGACCAGCGAGATACTCACCATGAGGCAATGCCATCAATAGCAGTATGGAATCCGCCGACGATGTCGTTCATCAGATTCTCTTTGATGGAATATTTAGGAAGCCATTCGAGAATTGGCATAAAACCAAACACGGTGTTCACAAAAGGTCGCACCCCTGTGAATGGATAGCAGTACGAGCTATGCAGTGACCTCAAATTCACGTTTTCACCTATGAACATACGACAGCTTTACTCCACACAACTCACCTCCCTAACTGCCGCAGAATCGGTTCCTCGTTCGGCTGTTTACCACCATATTCCGCATCGTACTCCTCCTGAATGCGTTATCATATATTATCGTATCCTCTGCCTTGTATCTCTAGCAGGATGAATGAGGATCGAACAAGTCTTCTACCATGGCTCTGCACTGTGTGAGAATCTTGTCGAGAGTAAGTGACACGCGGGGAACACAGACGGCTCGTGCATGGGGAGGGTGAATGCCGGTGCAGGAGAGCCGCGAGCTGCACGCTCAGAATCCGCGACGACCGTCGCTCGACGAATCCTCGCACCAAAATTTTACCTGATCTGTAGCCCTTGGAGCCAGAAGAGACTGCAGCGTGTGGCATGTGATTCTAATTAACGTACTATACTTTCCATTCGCATTTGATTAACCATTAGGGGGTTCAAATTACCATGGAACTTTGAAAGGAGGCCTGAGTAAACCTATAGGCTCAACACTACTCACAACATAGAAATCAAAAAGTGAACATTCCAGGCAAGTTGTGAGCGGCTCAAACTTGACGAGCAAAAACGCCAAAGGGGGGGCCCAAAAAACAAGGGGCCGGGACCAGGTGAGCTAACCTATCCGCCTCATAGTTTTTTTTTCCGATTCTCCCTCAAAGTCCCCATATGGGCTTAAGAGGTAATCCTCATCGCGAATATTGACATTTATTTGCGGCTGCTTTCGGTATGGTGGTTATATTATACCAGATTAGTCCCCCGTCAACCGCCGGGACCTTCCTTTCCTGCGCAAGCTTTCTATCCTCCGCTATGGTCCCTTCCTCCTGTGACACCAACACCTCGTGGAAGTGACGCGTATGCAACACAATGGTGTTTCAAACAGTAGAAGGGACACAATCATGATATGACGGTAGATTTTTCGCTTCCCTTCCTCATCCTCCCTTCCTCTCTCCACTGCCCTCCAGCTGCCACTGCAGCACCATGTGGAATGAACGGAAGTGTGCTAAGCAGGTGTTTATATAGCCCTAAGAGTGTTATCACAACTATCCTGCTACAAAACATTGATATCTCAAATCCTGTAAGCTACCCGATTGTGTTCGTTCTTGTGGCATCATGTGCCCATGTATGTATACGATCACTATTTTATCGTCTCTCGGGGGGAACTGTGTGAAGTCTAGAGGGATAATATTCGTGCTTAGAATTTTTAGAAATTTAGCCTTGAAATAGCAACAAAATATTGGGGCATCAGCAGTTTTGCCCCATCCTTTGCGTCAAGCTAATGCGATTTTCATCGCAGAGTGAAAGCCCTTACGGAAATCTTCCAGCGAAGACAAAATCTTGCCCCTTCTTTCGGAGAGAATGCAGCAAAGGGTAAGAAGCTGTACCAAGCTTACTTCTGGCTCTAATATACCCAACTCAGTGCTGAGCTGTCGGCACACCACCTCGTCCTCCGACTAAGTCAAACATGACCCTCTTGCCTTCAAGCACTATCAAATCCATGGCTCATTTTTAGCACTGAAAGCTGAACAGTCGTCCAAAATTCGACGTGACCATGGGACCTAATGACACATCTATTTCAGGCTCGTTTGCCGTGGTGGCACTAATGGCTGGCGTAGCTAACGACAAAATTCTGGTGTCACATGGAGGCGGAATGGTGGATTTCACGCAAAATTCCAGCCGTTATGATGTTTCCATTCACTATGATGTCTCACCGATCCAAATCGCTACCACTCTCACCTTCGCTATCGGCATTTGGCAGGTTGGACAGCCTCACGCTGTTTAGAGCATCGTGCCCATTAGGACTCAATTCTCGAATTTTCAGCTCTTATGTGGTTTACTTCGATTACAATTTATTATGACGTATTTCTCCGACCCACTGGTCTCCGGGTTCACTACCGGTAAGATCCTTTATGGTTCACACAAAGTGTGTTCCGACTTGAAGTTTCCACTTTTAGCTCAGATTTCAAGCCTTCAGGAAGTGTTTGTATTTCAGAAATAGACAGAGTGGCTCGAATTTGTGAGCACACAGAGTCAAGCTCGTATCAAGCGGGTTCCCCACATATTACTTCCATAGACTGTTCTCCGTCAATACCCCTCCGTAGTAGATAGTTATTATATCTGAATAGTATTATAAATATACCCAACATAGATTGTAACAGGGGCTAGTCACTAGTGTTTTTCCGCTACTGTTTTGGTTAGAGTCATCACAAGCATAGGTCGATCTCTACCAAGCAAATAAGTGCGTCGAACAGGAAAAGCTTTTAGAATTCCAACAATTCTCTAAAATTAGCAGGAATTCGCAGAAAATTGTTGTGCAAATTCGTTAACAAACCAATTGGAAAATTCTCAACAAGCATCACATCAGGGACAACCGTCTGCAGGACGAAGTCCAACGAGGGGGTCGTATTCGGCCGACCAAAAGGGGGGGGGGTCGTATTCGCAAAGGTCAACGTCGCAATACGTAGTTGAGAGGCATAACTTTCAAGTGCTTCTCTAACTACAAACCACAAACGAGTGCATGGCGCACCTCAGAGCAGAAGAGTCTGCTGCAGTAGTGTTCATATGTGACTGCTACGTATAAAATATGCTTCAGAGGAGAAAGAACGTCTTCAAACTGAAACTATCTCAGTGAAAGAGTGACTGCTTGGGGAGGTAGACTGCTAAAGGCTAACAAGAGAAGTTTGGGAAATTTTTTTTGCCTGTTAGCGACTTCCTGAAAAGGGTTTAGTATCTGTTATGAAGCACAAAGCTTGTGCGATGTCACGGTATCTATTAAAATAAAGGATAAAGCATTTGCCGTTGATCAATCCCTTTTGGGATGCGGCACGCATTCTACTTCCATTTGTACATTCGTAGTGGCGTTTGAATGCGATGTGGCCTATACAATGACTTGCGGGGGCCAGCCGATGTACAAGTCAGTGTTTTTATCCTCCCAGACAAGTCTGGTACCAATTAACCGACCCCGGAGGGATGGAAGGCTTGGTTGGCCGGGCGACTCACGACCCAGGATTGATCCCCGGGACCGACTCAACGACCCAGGGTTCGTATCCCGACCGCTCGCTGTTACGTCGTGCTACTTGCACTACACCACTCCCCGTCCGCCCTCCAACGTATCATTATTCCCTATAAAATTGAGTTTGAAGGGAGCTGTGGGTGTTTTAGTGTTGAAAGTCGGTTTTCCAGGACAACGTTTCTTCCGAGAAGGACAAGAATTGCAAAAAGTTCAATCTGAAGAAAGTTATAACAATTCAAAGCCAAAAAACCAGCGCTCTGCCAAAAATCGGTCCGCGATTTCCCCAAAACGGTCCAACGGGGCGATTTTTTGACTCCATCAGTTTTGAAAGAGTTCAAGTATTCGTTAGAAAGCTCTAACCTTCTAGTTTATCTCCAGGGGGACAATAATTGCAAAAGGTTCTTTCTGAAGAAAGTTATAGTCTTTGAAAGCCAAAAAACCCGGTTGTGCACAAAAACGGTCCAACGGGGCGATTTTTTGAAGAAATGAAACTTCACAAAAGTTAGAGCAGTCACTTTTCAACAAAGCTTAACTGGGCCTGCCTCTGCTTTTGGGATGACACCTGAGGAATATTCTGCCGTAAAACATTCATCAACAACGGCATCCTGTGCGACGAAAAATTTGATGATGTGCCCATGGGCAAGTGACTCATTTTTTTGCCCACCCCCTGTATGCTTTGAGTGACGCTTGATAAACTTCAGAATGCGTGAGCAATATCTAATTTCCTGGATGTTCTTACAGCATCTTAGGCATAGTTCATTAGATTAGACGGATAACAGAGGCCGCAGGAACGGCTGTTACCGTAATCCGCCGCCGCAACAAATCGATGCCACGTGGCATTCGGCATGCCTCTTTTGTCGTTTTTCTGCGCACTCCACGACGACAGTATGGACGATACGGAGCCCGTTCATCCGCGTGAGCGGCGAGGCGAATGCTGCGTGTAATTTTGAGCAGCACTCGCCTCGCCGCTGGAGCGGTGAGGCATGTGCTGCATGCATTTTTGGATAGTCACCCGCGGTAAGGGTGGCTTGTGACAAGACGGTTATCGCAGTCCGTGGAGTGAGCGTTCAATCTACCTAATTCGTTGAAAGGGCGCGGCCACGGGTTACGGTAACAGTCGTTCCGCGGCCTTTGTTATCTGTCTTGTGTTCATTAGGGTGTGTCTGGCGACAGCGCCGACTTTTGTTTAATTTTTTGTTAATTTATTGTGAATTTCTTCCAGGAGCTGCAGTCCATGTGCTCCTCGCTCAAATCGATGACATCATGGGTGTTCATGTTCCTAAAGCTTCAGGAATAGGATACATTTTTGTGGTAAGCAAGCGTTTGAGAGTCTTTGTTGGTCCTTCTGCTACATAAGCTTCTCACATACTTGGTTTGTCAGTTTGTAGGTCCCCCAGTCTCCTTTTTAATGCTTGTCCGCAAAATGCCTCTGGTCGTGTACAAAAGGATATGTCTAGGGAGCAGTGGTAAGCCTAAGGGAGTACCGGCAAGACGTGCGCCACCAACAATTCCATGTGCTGTCGTGTGACTTCCAACTCTACACAACATCTACTGAGTACATTTTCGGTTATTTCACAGGGTAGCCGACAGTAGGCGGTGGGAGACGTGCGTTTCTCCTCCTGGGGTCAGGTCACCACAGTTGCGCGATCATTGAAGCTTAAGGTTAAGTTTGGGTTTAGACTTAGGTTAAGGTTTATGCTTACACATTGGCTTATGCCTAAGCCTATGATTGGGCCTAGGCTTAGTCCTAAGCTTGCTCTGAGCGAAT